AATAAGTGATATTTACGGTGTAAGAATGCTTTGTCCCTCCCTTTTTTACCAGTGTGCCCCCACCCCTTCACTATATTTTGGCCAATAGCCCTAATAAAAACTATTAATACTTTTTCTACTTCCTCCCAATTTAGTATATACTCATATTGCTTTTATCTGGAGAACAAAGTTGACAAAATCCCATTACCTTGGTTCAATTATATTGAAATATATGAAACTCCGAGATACAAACTTGCTAACTGAATATCAAAAGTTTATTTTGAAGCTGTGTGCAAATTTATCTTAAATTGAATATCAGATTTATTGTTGATAGAAATTTAAAAACTTTTATTTTTTTTAAATTCTTTTTTATTTTAATAAAAAGACTGAATCAAAATGAATGAACTGATTCAATAAAATGATAAAAGCTAAAAAGAATACCGTCTTGTGTTTACATTACCGCCCAGTGACAGTACACTGCAGTACAAAAGATGCTTCCACCTCTGAAATAACTTTCCTTGCTTTAAATCCTTGAAAAATATGAAATACCGAGCTACAAACTTGCTAACTGGAAAATCAAAAGTTTATTTTGACGCTGTGTGCGAATTTATTTTAATTTGAATTTCAGATTTATTGTCAGAAAACTCTCCTTGTTAACGTAAATTTTAAACTTTTTAAAAATTCTTTTTTATTTTAATAAAAACACTTTAAAAAACTAATGAACTGATTTAATAAAATGATAAAAGCACTAAAGAATTCTGCCCTAAAATAAGATTCAATGACATTTAATGGATAAAAAATTCATTATTTTCAATTATGGTTTTCTACAAAGATGACTTGCGCATTTATAACTGCAGGAAAACATAAAGAAATTATAAGAATTAACCACTTTTAATCCTAGAAATACTACAATGTCTTCCAAATTATTGATCAGATAAAAGTTTCAAGGGTATCGTTGTAAATCGGGATATTGCCATCTTTGCATGGAGTGTCACTTGAAATTACGCTGACAGTCCCTTTAAATTTAAAGTACGAGGATAAGAAATAGAGTTGCTCAAGTGGAAATGAACAAATAGAATAGTCTGAAAGGAAGAAAGGAAGAGAATATTTAAGTTCGGACGGAGCTAATTATGAAATTAACTTTAGCGTCTGTAAACTCTATTAACCTAATCAAATATCATGTTATACAATTGTTTTATACATTTACATTAACTGCTAAGGTTTCTCAAAGCAAAAAGCTGAAAATATAATAATGGATGTCACAAAATGCCAGTCTTTTCGAATCTATCTTAATTACAGAAAACGCACTGTATTTCTGTCTTCTCTACCTAGGGTCAACGCTAAATTTTAACTATTTATTGAGACATAATTAAGGGTACAGGACCACAGGTTAAATATGGGTGACCGGCGGCGTAGCGGGCACCCAACTAGTACATATAATATTTACAAGTTTAATCAACAATAATATTAATCTTTTATTTGGTTGCACTTACAAAATATGCATAAAAATTATGATAACAGTTATTAGCATGAATATAGATAAGGTATCAGGTTTCCCTGATATAGTACTTATTGGTTATTCATTACATGGATAAATGATTTAAGGAAAAGGTTCATTTTCGTTTTTTTTGTTAATCTTATAATAAAATTTAAATATTTAAAAACCTTCCCTGGGGTCATGTTAGGTCCTGCGCAAATTTTGGGCTCGATCGGTTCAGCCGTTTTGACATTCATTGGATACAAACAAACAGACAGGACAGACAAGCCAAGTATTTTTAAACATTTTACGAAAAAAAATTAATGCGTTTTTTTAAAATTTCAAGAGCAAAAAAGCTGAACATTTGCCTCAAACTTTAATTTTATAATCTTTTGTCTTTGCAAACTAATATTGGCCCGCAAAAAATATAGTATTAAACAATTTGATTTTTTGTTTTAGCAAAATTTATTAAAGAATTGGGGCTTTGCAACAATCCCTATATATTTGCAACCAAACGTCGTACACATGAGATTTTTCAAACCATAAATCTTTTAGATAAAAATCTAAGCTTTAAATATCTACACCATCAGGTTGTAAAGATATAAGAATTAGAAAATTTGAAATAAGATTAGATAAGAAAAACTATTGGTATAATATTATTTTTTTTTGTTACAGTTTCATTTTCATCTTTAAAATTGCTTAGCCCCAAATATACTTTTTTCTCTAGTTATGATTATGATCCATTTCTCTTTATCTATTTATAAATTAATAGGATCAAATATAATATTATTATCTCCGCCTAACAAGCTTATACAGAGGTAGACTATATACATTTATTCTAATCAAAACAGTATCAAAGGATTTAGGGGAATTTTCTAGAATTTATGAAACGGGGGTTTGTTACCAAATGTAATTACAGTTAAATAAAAGTAACAGTTTTTGTAATTCAATGTTTACAAAGGAATTGAGTCTTTGCCACAAACTCTGCTTTTCTAAACCCTATATCTTTGGATTCCAATGTCGTAGACCTTAACTATTTCAAACTATGAATTCTGTTAGATCAAATAATATAAGTTTGAAATATCAAAGATTTACGACATTGGGTTCCAAAGATATAGGGATTATAAATTCAGAGTTTGTGGCAAAGACTCAATTCCTTTTAGAAAATATGTATTTCAATATTTTATTCTGTAGATTTAAAGAAATTAAAACTCTAATTTTCTCATCTTTGTAACCTGATGGTTTAAAAATTTGATATTTCCGATTTAGATTAGAAGATTTAACCAACCTCATAATTTGAAATGTTAAAATTTGCAAAAAATAAGGATTAGACAATTAGAGTTTGCAGCAAGTGTTGTTGTTTCTAACGTTGTCAATAAATTTTATGTGTTAGCTCAAAAGAACTCCATGCTCAAAATTATACATTTACCATGAAATATTTTCAAACCCCTTTTTCCTTCGCCTCCAAACCCACACCTAGCCCCGACCATCTGATCCTAAACTTATAATTAGAACATGAACTAGAACTCCCAAAACTATTCTTTTTGCTCAACTGTTCTCTGTCAACTTGATTCTTTCTTATGTATTCTATATTTTTAGTTTGGCGGGGTTTCTTTTTGCAATTTCTTCCAAACCAAAAATTAATTAGAAATCCCACCATTGTCTGTTTGAACAATTACTTGCTTTACCTTCTACAACCCATTGGATAACTTCCTTCAGGACTTCATCTGCTTCCTGTAGTTTTCTTAACTCGAACCCTTCTATGATTGTATGTCTTGTTTCCTGACTCATGCTGTGCACTAAAGATGAATATCCGGCAAACCTCCGCCTCTCTTTAGCTATATCTGCTGGATCTCCTTCTAGATCTGTAGCCATAGAGAATAGAATATATATTAGAGTGGAATTTAAACAATCCCTCGGTATGAATTTTTTCAGTCCCTTTCAGCCTGAAAGGGAGTTTAAAGTGTACAAATCATGAAATGTTCACAAATTATGTGCAGTAGAGTACATTAATACAGTATGTTCCCCAGACTATTCATTTCAATTTCGATTTTGTAAAGCTTTTCAATAAACTTTATAAAATGAATTAGGTGAATAAAAAACATCATTTGATTTATAGTATAAATCATCGTTAGTAAAGTGAAAGGCAGAGAGTCTATGTGAAATGATCATTGGTCAAATATAAAACCAGCCTATTTCATAATTTGGTTTTCTTTTAACAATAGTTTTAGATTTTCTATAAAATGATGTTCTATGGCCCAAAAGGTTATATAGAACAAATATGTGAAGAACACCTGCAGTATGGAAACAGTACAACAAAATGGTCGTTTTACACTTTTTTTTAGTAAATTCCCCTCTAATATATATTCTATTCTCTTTGTCTGTTGCATAAGTTATCTTGAGTTCTCCTACTTCATTGTTTGCCTCATACTCTGCCTTCTCTTNAGTGTACGGGATATACATAGTTGAGTAGTTGTGATACTGTATTTTCGTTCTAATTGCTTCCTTTCATTCTCGTCCAACTATATTCCTTTCATAACAGACCCTTCTTTATTACTATAATCAGGGGCGTAAATAAGGAATCTGTAGGGGGGGGGGTAAACTTTTTTAATGTGGGTTTAGTTTTTTTGCATTTTCCACTTATTTCTGGCATTTACAAACTCCATCATATAAAGGCAATTCATTTCCTACCTTTCAGCTTTCACCTTGTTTTATACCCTTCATTTTAGTCATTCATTTTACATTAACTACAAAGATCTGTAAACAAACTGAATTTATTTTAAGTATCATAAATAATAGTTTTACTCTAAGAGGAAAAAGATGTAACTTTAAAACTTTAGAAAAGCTACTCTGCAAAACTTTGAAAAAATATAGTCTAGCTTTGTTTATATTCTAATTTATAATTCTAGGAATATATGTTAATTTCACTATATTAAAAGAGAAATGTCTTACTTTTTAAAACTTAATTCTTAATAATCTTGATCTTTTAACATTTCGATTTTTGGGTAAAATTTATCTATGTTACTTCGTTAAAGTTGATTGAGTAAGATTATCTGCGCGAAGCGGCAATTTTTTTTACATTTTTTCTTTTAATGGTTATCATGAACATGGAGAATGGAGATCAAGTTACTAAACGGAGATGTTTATGTCCCCAAGATTCTGTGGGGGTAATCCCCCAGGGTTCTGGGGGGGTAAGTAACCCCAATAACCCCCCTTATTTACGCCACTGGCTATAATAATCTAAAATCAATAAAATATATTTATATATCTAACAAAATTTAATCTCAGTATTTTGATTTTAATTAATTTATTAGGAAAACTCTACGCAAAGATGAGAACCCAAAAAGGGGGGGGGTGAATTTCTGAAAAAAAGCAATTTTGCTTTAAATCATCATCATCATTTCTTTTGTAAAACAATTCTAAAAATAATTTTCTTATGACACTTTTTTACTGGAGGCCGTCTTCGTTAGCTAACCGGCACTGCATCAAGTTCAAACCTATATAATTTTCTTTCTAGGATCTGTGAATTCGCCATACACAAGCAAAATATGTAACTATATATTTTTCTAACATATTTATTCTTATTTATGTTTTAAGGTGTCAGAGCTTCAGTCTAACTTTAGGAGGCGTCTTTATCCTAAAAATAAAATAATAATAAAATGAATTTTTCAGATATATATTTGGCATAAAAAAATTACCTTTCAATTTTTTCTCTGAACTTTCTAGGCTGAACCACGTTCAAATGAAATTTTGAAGGAATATTTCCCTGGCAAGAAAAAAGGAGTTAAATGTATGTTTATTATATATCTAAATCTGTAATAAGTTTGGCGTGTCTGCTTGTATTCAATTAACGTCAAAACTAACGTGACTCCAGTGCAGATTTTTGGTATCATAGGCAAAAGTCAAAAGAAAAATTAAATGATTTTTCCTTCTTTTACTGTTTGAAGAAGAAAAGCTATGCAGATATTAGATTTAACCTGATATATTAAACATTGTTCAACTTTTCGTTAATTATTTTTGTAAAATTTTACCTTAGGATAATAGTATGCAACAATGATTGACTAAAATAAAAATGTATTATTATACTTATTTTAATTACTAATGAAATGAAATGTTACAAATTATAAATAAAGGAATAGTGTGTCTGAATCTTATACATACATTTAAGAAATAAAAAAAAACATATATTTTGAAATATTTCCGTAGCTCATATATCCCTAAAAATAATGAGTTATTTTCTATCGTCCTCTATCCCACGCTGATTCTTGATCCCTGCTCGAGTATGAGCTTGTACTACCTTCCTCAGGTGTTCAAGGTGTCCCCACAGATCCGTCGAATACACCAGAACGTCGTCCAGGTAACTCAACCAGTCTCTGAACTCTGTAGGTAGATGAGTCATAGCCAGGTCCCTTATAGGGTAGAATCGATTAAGGGCTTGATAGATAGCCAGTGCTTGTGTCCCTNTTTCCCATTTTCCCCTTTAGCTCTGCCCACTCCAAAAAGTTTGGTTGAGGCCCACACCATCTGAGTAAATTCACCTTCATAATTCAGATTTTAAATATATATTATCAGTGGGTGTACACTACATAACACAACAACTGTGTACTGTGGAGTGTATACCGAATTTTTATCAAAAGGGACTATCCACGTTATTTAAAATAAAACACTCAAGCTCTATTAGATTAAGAATCAGGATGATAATATAATGAAAATATTAGAATTGTGCATGAGTCTGCATTTAACATAGAGAACTACGATTAAGCATAATCAAATTTAGAAATAGATAGCTGAATATTTCAATCAATTTTGCTTACTCTAAACCGTAAATGCATTGACAGTCCCTTTAAATATTAATAATTCTGCACAATTTATGGCCGAGGCAAACTGCATCATAACTTGCAGTCTTCTTGAAATTTTAATATCATATTTTGTTTAAATTTGCAACAAAAAAAGGACATTTTAAAATAAAATTGACACATCCCACTGCGTATACGTAGCTGCGTGCAGTATATCAAGGACTATATTATACGTAGATGAGTAGCTGTGTACGGATATAAATACGTACTTGAGTAGCAGTATATCTACAGTTCTAGTGTACAGATATATTTGTACTTGAGAAATGTCTTACTTTTTAAAANGTGTACGGATATATGCGTACTTGAGTAGCAATATATCTACAGTTCTAGTGTACAGATATATTTGTACTTAAGTAGCTGTGCTGTATATCTACAGGTTTAGTGTACGGGATATACATAGTTGAGTAGTTGTGATATGTACAGGTTTAGTGTACGGATACATGCGTACTTGAGTAGCAGAAATCTACGGTTCTAGTGTAAAGATATATACGTACTTGAGTAGCTTAACAGTATATCTACAGGTTTAGTGTACGGGATATATTCATAGTTGAATAGTTGTGATATGTACAGGTTTAGTGTACTGATATATACGTACTTGAGTAGCAGTATATCTACATTTTTGACGTACAGATATATCCTTAAGTAGCTTTACAGTATATCTACAGGTTTAGTGTACGGGATATACATAGTTGAGTAGTTGTGATATGTACAGGTTTAGTGTACGGATACATGCGTACTTGAGTAGCAGCAATCTACAGTTCTAGTGTACAGAAATATACGTACTTGAGTAGCTGTGCAGTATATCTACAGGTTTAGTGTACGGATATGTACAATGGTCTCTGTACCAATGTATGGCTACAAACTTCCCATCAACTTCGGTACATAGATTTCTAAAGATAAGAAAATATATATAATTTTTTTCAAAATGTGTGTTAAAGTTTCTGAAAATATGGCTTTCTAAATTGTTTGAAAGTAGCGAATCAAGATAAGTTTCAGAAGAGGAGGGCCAAAATATTTATTTTGTATAAAGGAAATGATGACTCATCTTTAATTTTCGTATCCAATTACAACCAAAAGAATTAATCGATCATAATACATAGTCTATAGACAAGTTGCCAGTTTTTTTTAAAACTGTTGGTGATCAATTTCCAATAATCTTTTATTACTTTTCAGTCAGTTGACTTTTACATTTGATTAAGTTACTTTCTAAAACAAGTTTTATTACTTTTATCTAATTATTGTTGTTGTTTAAAGAGACCCTTCATCGAAAGATGGACATGTCAGACTCACAACGGTATACCCTTTAAACCATTAACCTTTAAACCTAAAACAAGGACGAAATATCTTTGATTAAATCAGTGAAATAACTCAGGGAAAGGTTCAAGGGTACCGTTGTGAATCGACGAAACCATTCTATAAATGGAGCGGCAAATAAAAAACCGTTTGCAGTCCCATTAAAAATAAGAAATCTACAGACCTGGTTAATGTACTACTAGAAGGAAGGTATTGCTTAGGCCACAGGAACAGGTTTTCACCGTGCTTAACAAAAACATCAAACAAATTAATTGAGTTCTTTCCACTAACTCTGATATTATATAATCCTTATGCTTGTGCAACCCAATGTCGTAGACCTTTGATATTTCAAAAATATAAGGATTAGAACATTTGAGTTTTTCCTCAAAAATCTTTGAAGTTTTATATTTTTAGTATTGTCTGTTTTCAAACTTATACATATCTAATAATTTTTTTTCTATGAATAAGTTCGACTGAAAAATAGTAAACAAATTTAAAAGAAACATTCCTTGGATTTAGGAATTTTGTATTATCTCTGAAAGGAAATGGTTGAACGATACACTTGGAATTTGTGCAAAATATATAAACCATCATTAATTTAGTTAACAATGAAACCCTTCTCTAAGCAGACAGATATAAAACGTCGTTTGTCACGACAATACGTACTATATACTATATCAAAGAAACATTAGAAATTGAAAAAAAGAAATAATATTTATATTGCATGATTTTTTGTATAATAATTTAAATTAAATCTAACAAGGAAATGAATACTCGAAGGGCTGGACACATTCAGACTTTTTTGTTTGAAACACAACCGTTCGTTCTTTCTTATAAACCGTTTTTTTTCAATAACGGCTATTTCCGTTAATGAAAAGTTCCACAGTCCTAAATTTACTCGCCTCAAACTCTTTTGTTTAAAACCTTAGTCCATTATCCCTTTTATAAATTTGCAACCTGATAGTATAAACTTGATCTCGATATCCCATGAAGGTACTTATAAACCTGAGTCTGTGCTTAAAGGGACCGTTCACTTTTTTGGGTAATTTCATGGTAAACTAATCAGTCTATTAGCTATTCATTGGTATTAGTCTAACTTTTAAAGATATCTATGACCGGAGAAAAACGCTGATTTTTCGTTTAAAATTCCAACAGAAAGATATAATTATACCTTTTCATAGACATTATTTAAACGTTTTTCAGTAACAACAGCCCGATCAAATCTAAAATTTTAATGACATCATGTGTCAGCCATTATACAACAAAATATAAAAACGTTTGATTTTAGAATTAGTAAGATATTAACGTTTTTCGTGTTAAAATCTAATTTAACAAATTTTCAAGTTGAACAAAGATGACTTTCTCTCTCAGACAAACCAGTTCCTAGATTTCAACTCTTCAATAAATCATGGAGATTCATGGGAAAGTAGGGAAAACATATCACCCAGCAAGAAAGGGAGACAACCAAGGAAGTCTAAAACTGACTTACAAGACACGGGGATAGGACGTCCTAAAGACCCACAATTACTACTTCTGAAATAGTCATATTTAGACCGGAAAGACAAGGTTCAGGACGCTGTTTATGAACTGGGGTATCAGTTTACTAAAGGCATTTGTCTCTGCAGGGCTTCCTTGTAAACGTCCATATTTTTGTCCATGTGTTGCCACATGTGTTTCTCCGGCAGCTGTTTTAAAGCTGTTCTCCGAGCTCCCCCCCCCCTCCCTGCACTCCTCTTATTTTCATTTACAGAGGAAATACTCAATAATCATCTTTAGGACATCCCGAGGGCGTCCTTAAAAAATTCTTTAGGACGTCTTGACAGGTTCCTTATAGTCGCTGTTAATTAAGGCCAAACACAGGGTCCCCCCCCCACAAAAAAATTCTTCAGTAGGAAGTCCTGAGGGCGTCCTCAAGAAGCATCTTTAGGACGTCCTAACTGGGTCTTCACAAGACGCTGTCAAGTTGGGGTGTACATGTACACAGGTTTGCCCCCCCCCAAAAAAAAACCTTGGGAGGGAGGGCACATGGAAATTGCCCCTCGAAAAAGTATTTTTTCTTAACCCTATCCCCGCTGGGGTCAATTTGACCCCCCCCCCTCTAAATCCCATGTTTTATGTCAAAATATGACAAATGATACATCATTAGAAAGCTCTTGTGCTCTACTTTTAGAATCTGCAAAAAAATTTGCAAATTTGCGAAAATTGAATTTTTTATCGCAAAATCCAGTTTTATAGTAAAAATGTTTGCAAAAAAAAATTTGTCCAAAAAATGACAAATTATACATTTTTGAAAAGCCCTTGACCATGCCATTTCAAATATGCAAAAATTTTTGCAAAATTTTAAATAACCTGATTTTTAATCAAGAAAAACTAAAAATGTGCAAATTTCCTTTGACAGGTTGTTTGCAAAAAATTTGCAATTTTTTTTTCGCAAAACTTGTGCAATCCGTTTCCTTATGTCATAGGCTTTCCAAAAAGCTAAATTTTATCAAAATCTGACAAGTGAAAGTGGGTCAAAACAAAGATTTAGTTTGCTACAGGCAAAAGCAGTCATTCAGGCAGTGTGCCTGAGGACTCAGGCAGTTAGTATTAAAGCCCGGTTTTAGGCCTAAAGGGAGGGCTTTGGGTATGTAAGAAAAGTCAGAAAGTTTCAACAGCCTCAGACCAATACTTTTTGAGTTATGTAAAAAAAACTACAGGGGGGGGGTCAAATTGACCCCCCCCAGCGGGAATAGGGTTAAGGAAAACCTGTTCTCCTTGACTTCACAGCGACTTGTGAAGAACCAGACATAATGACATAAAGATGTTTCTTTAGGACGACCCTAGGGTTGCTTTTTCTAAACAACAAAACATATGCAGATCATTAAAAAATTTATTTACATAATTAAATATAAATTAATTAATTAATCACGGAATATCGAAGAGGAATTAAATTAATCTGTAGATCAATGTTTAATCCTGAGATTCACAATACAAAAGTTCTGCATTTGGAATTCATCATTTGAAATATAACATCGTTTGATATATAACATCGTTTGATATATAACATGGTTTGATATATAACATCGTTTGATATATAACATGATTTGATATATAACATCGTTTGATATATAACATCGTTTTATATATAACATCGTTTGATATATAACATCGTTTGATTTATAACATTGTTTGAAAAATAACATCGTTTGATATATAACATTGTTTGAAATATAACATCGTTTGATATATAACATCGTTTGATATATAACATTGTTTGAAATATAGCATCGTTTGATATATAACATCATTTGATATATAACATCGTTTGATATATAACATAGTTTTATATATAACATCGTTTGATATATAACATCGTTTGATATATAACATCGTTTGATATATAGCATCGTTTGATATATAACATCATTTGATATATAACATCGTTTGATATATAACATTTTGAAATTAATGGTTAACAAACATCGTTTGATATATAACATCGTTTGATATATAACATTGTTTGATATATAACATCGTTTGATATATAACATCGTTTGATATATAACACTGTTTGCAAAAATCAGATTTAGAGTCAAGTGATCAGTTCCCTTGCAACAATAAACAATATGAAAATTAAACTGAAAAAATAATCACCTGTTCTGAATTTTGATGATAAAACTCATTAATACTTGTAAGAAAAGTTGCCCACGAGTAAGCCATCTCACACAAAGCTTCAAATATGCAAAAAAATATTATTTAAATTATCTAAAAAAAGAAATTACAAAATTCTATTATTTGCAAATTCCGGTTATTCTGTAAAAACTGGTTACTAAACAAATTTTAAGTGAAAATCTAATTTTTTATAAAAAGTAACTAAGCACTGTTTAAATCTCGCAAAAAAGATACTTACAAATTTGTTTTTAGAAATACTATCTTTTTCCTTAATAATATCATAATTGGAAGATTTTTTTTTCAGAGAATATAAAATTCAACAATCAATAAGATTATTAATATTATTAGCTTATTTGAGTATAAAGACAAATATAAAGCCAATTAAATATTAATGATGATATTATTTCTAAATAAAATAATGTAAATTTAAAAATATATAAAAATACCTGGATCCAGTTGTAACTGTTTAACTCCATGCCTGGCTCTCAACAGGTTATGCCAGTCCAGACAATCCTTAAATATGATTCTTTTCAAAACATTATGTACAGTTGTTGCATCCCACTGTATCCAAAAGTAATGTCGTCTTCCTACCCTTCACCTTTGTATTGGGTTAGATATAAAAACAGAGAATGTATTCCGGCACAGCCCGTCTCAGCCAGAGATTTACACACCGAATACTTAAAATATACAATCTGTGAATAATTCTGCGATCCGTAGCAATTGCCACTTAAACAACTGGGGTTTTTATTTCAGAAGTAACAACTAAATGTTTCAAACTGACCCAATCTTCTTTCTCTGAGAACAAATCACTCCTTGATCACCCCAGATACTGCACTCTACTGGTAAGTTACTCAATCCTTTTAACAACATTAGACAATTTTATCATAACTACTTATTATTACTAAAACAGTATTTGTAGGTTAGAAATATATACATATTTGCAACTTTAATTTTTTTGGTTACAAGGAGTTTCTTCAAACCTATATCAAGACCTCCGTGATTTGTGTCAAAAGCAGTGTACACCATATCTATCTATTTACATGCTTTTCTTGTCTGTCTGGGTGTCTGTTTGTGTGTTTGTATTTAATAAACGTCAAAAGGGCGTAAGCGATCCGGCCCAAATTTTTTTAGGGACCTCACATGACCCTGAGAAGCTTTTTCGATGATCAAAATTTCAAAATTTAGCCTCCAACAAAATTCGATTTACATTAGATTTTGAATATCTACTAATTTTTTTTTATAAAATCCGCGAAATTTTTGTTTTTGTTTTACTATGTGTACCAAGAGAAAATGTTCACAATTGAAGTAGAAGATGGGCGCGAAAAAAGAATAGTTTTTGGTATTAAGAAATGCCAGGACAGGCGCATTTCGTAATTATTCAAGAAAAGTAAAGTTGACAAAAGAATGCCGGAAGTTATTTCAAAGATTAAAGACGACCCTTTACCTTGATAAATGCTGAATCTTCCCAGACTGTATGCTTTCTTCCGGGCGTTGATATTCCTGATGATTAAACAGAAAAAAATTATTCAATAATTTTATGTTTCAAAATACTAAATATTCGAATAAAATAATTTTTTAATTAAAATGACAAATAAATTCGGAAAGATCTTTTATTTCTCCATATTCTTAATCTTTATGGGCCATTCTATGAATTCTGCAAGATCAAACAATAAAATTATAAATTTGAAAGGTTATAAAGAGATTATTATGAGTTTCTTTGAATGACATGATAAATTGAAGTAAATATGACATACAAGTTTGGATTTATTGATTAAGTAATTGAACTATACATTATTAGTTAAACATTTTCCGCCATACGATAGAAGTAGTTAAACTAGTTCTCCTTATCCATTAATTCCGACCTCATTAACAAGTGAATTTAAAGAAAAGGACCTGCTACAAGGGAAGGAAAAGCAGGCCCGCATCCAAGAACTGCGGAACTTTTTACAAGCAACTTTCCTGACTAAACATATTCATTAAACAAAAACAACCCCAAAAAATAACGTACAGGGATAACCAGAAAACTCTGGAAAATAAAGACGACTTTTAGAATACATTTTTGCCTTTAAATAGTGCAATAAACATGAGACACCACCAAATTGTAGGGTGCAAAAAGGCCCAATTTACTTAATGCATGTTTTAAAAGTAAAACTATTTACTTTTTAATCACATCAAATACCATTACTTATTGCTCATATATCATCTTCCTATTCTACAGTTTTCTGGTTCTCACTGTAGCAAAAATAAAAACATATTAGTTAACTAACCTCGCATGAATTTGTTTCCTTTTTTCTTTTTTTCCTGCACAAAAAATATCGTTTTTTAGTGATTATCACATTTTTAAATTTAAACTTGAACTAGTAAAATTTTTAAAATTTTGAGATATCTTGTTTTTTCCTTTTGAAAACTGTCATGAGTACCCCTATTGCTCCAGATTTACATGGTACAGGTTTCACCTCACTATAAAGAAGCAAATGTTTGTTAATAGTTTTGTTTAGCTTTTAAAAAAGTATTAACACCCTTCATTTGATTTTTTGTTATTAAATAGTTTTCTTTTGGAACACTCAAAAGAAAAAAAGAAAGAATTCTGTTCTGGATTGGGAAAAAAAGGCGTTGACCCTTTGTTTAAAAAGTTAAATGTCTTGGTCTATTTTCCTTTGTCTGTACATCAAGGATGGAGACATCCTTGTTTTTCTATCCGATCAAATATTTATATTCTTTAATGAAGATTTCTCTAAAAAAATGGGCATTCTCGGTCTCCACATATTTACTGAGATAGGCGGGGTTAACCCTATCCCCGCTGGGGTACTTGAAAACCAGGATACGCTGGGGGGGGTCAATTTGACCCCCCCCCCTCTAAATCCCATGTTTTATGTCAAAATATGACAAATGATACATCATTAGAAAGCTCTTGTGCTCTACTTTTAGAATCTGCAAAAAAATTTGCAAATTTGCGAAAATTGAATTTTTTATCGCAAAATCCAGTTTTATAGTAAAAATGTTTGCAAAAAAAATTTGTCCAAAAAGTGACAAATTATACATTTTTGAAAAGCCATTTCAAATATGCAAAAATTTTTGCAAAATTTTAAATAACCTGATTTTTAATCAAGAAAAACTAAAAATGTGCAAATTTCCTTTGACAGGTTGTTTGCAAAAAATTTGCAATTTTTTTTTCGCAAAACTTGTGCAATCCGTTTCCTTATGTCATAGGCTTTCCAAAAAGCTGAATTTTATCAAAATCTGACAAGTGAAAGTGGGTCAAAACAAAGATTTAGTTTGCTACAGGCAAAAGCAGTAATTCAGGCAGTGTGCCTGAGGACTCAGGCAGTTAGTATTAAAGCCCGGTTTTAGGCTTAAAGGGAGGGCTTTGGGTATGTAAGAAAAGTCAGAAAATTTCAACAGCCTCAGACCAATACTTTTTGAGTTATGTAAAAAAAACTACAGGGGGGGGGCAAATTGACCCCCCCCCCCCAGCGGGAATAGGGTTAAAAGGTTTAGTTTTAATCAGGCAAGTTACACAAATCCAGACTGTTAGGAAAAGTTGCATCAATTTTGTTACCGGGTCGACCTTGACCTTTGGTTTTATCTCACTAACTTACTCTTACTATTTTGTAGCCCTAGACATGTACATCTTAGAATTATAAGACATTTTTTATAAGCTTTAGTCTTTAAGAAGTAAATAAAAAAATTCTCATAATTTTTTTCGCTAGTGCAATTTTTTATCACTGCAGGTGAAGTAAAGTTTTTAAATTGATTGTCATTTTAAACTTATAACTTTATACTGAATAAAAACAGAAGAAGATTTGAAATAATTGTCTTTCACTGAATGAAATAGTTTGCTACAATTATTTAACCCTTTCCTAGTACAGGGTTGAAGTGCTTCTTTCTGGTTATTTTTATCAATTCTATCGTTCTTCTAAATCAAATAAATACAAAGTGATTGTTACATTTTTCTTGATATACAGCTCTAGATAAGAAAAGCTAATTCTATTATTTTTATGTCATTGAAATTTGAAACCAACAAAAGTGTAAAAAATGAGAACTTAAATTTCTATAAAATTGAATTTCATGAATCATATTCAAATAATCAAATCAAATAATCAAATAATCAAATAATCAAATAATCAAATAATCAAATAATCAAATAATCAAATAATCAAATAATCAAATAAATCAAATAATCAAATAATCAAATAATCAAATAATCAAATAATCAAATAATCAAATAATCAAATAATCAAATAATCAAATAGTTAAATAATCAAATAATCAAAAAATCGATAAAATTTTTTGGCGAATAAAAAGTATTTTGTCTTCGATATATTATGGGAAGAGAGGGTTTGCAACCAAAAAAAAATCTAAAATCAATCGTTATAGAGTTTTTTTTTCAATTTTGCCTTTGCCAATTTTGACTCTCGCTCTCGTTTGCCCATTTTTCATTTAAACTACATGAAAATTGTTGTGAGGAAAAGTCCCAAAGTAGGCAAATTAATGTTTAAATAATTAAAAATTTGAATTCACCGTAATTTTTTTATGGTTTATTTTTGTATATTAACTTTTTAAGCTTTTTAAATTTACCATGGCTAAAGATCCATATGAGAACAATAGGTCGACTTTACAGTGTCACAATGCCTTGGCATTTAATTTTACTTTATACATTTTATACACTTTAGATTTATCAACACTTGTTTTCAGTTTTAGTTTAAAACAAATAATTGTAAAAATTTTCATTAATTTTTGCTTGATATCTTGCAATATTTTGATCCCTTTGAACATGACTAAAAACTGTATTAAAAATAATCTACCTGAGTTTGCAAAGAGCTAAAATACACTAGATTCCACTGCAGCCAAATATAATGTACATGAGAATATATAAAAAATTGAATATTTTTAGTAATTTTCTCTGAACTGGGAATAAAAAAAAAATATACAAAGTGATAAGAAATAGATTATGATCTAAACTATTTATTAGATTTAATATTCAAAGATTGGAAAAAACTACTGACTAATAAAGTGTTAGAAAAAATAAGTCAGTTTAAACAAGTTCAGTGATGGGCGAAAATGCCATCGCATTCATAAGGTACAGCCATTGGTCAATTATGAAAAAATAATTATCCATGGGACTGTTTTTTCAAAAATAGTTTTTAGTTTATTTTAGATTTTTAGGTTGTACACAATTTCCTGTTTAGGTTTATGAGGCGGAAGTTTAGGATAAGTTCCGTAGAAACTAGTTTCAGTTAAGTCCAGTTTACCTTCGTTACTGGCAACTAAAATATGCACATCCGGACTAGGGCTGGGTAAAGTTCCGTTAACGGATTAAACATTTTTGTAAATTAAAGTAAAATGTCCGTTAAGGAACAGCAAAAAACGTTAATTTTTTAAATCGTTTACTAACGCAAATACCCGTTTTTGAAAAAAACGGTTGAAAAAGAAAAACTAAGAGATGTGCGGCTTTCGTTTTATTATGTATTTTAATTTTTATGTAACGTGTTTTAATGTTTTTTAATGTTTTTGTTCCAGCTATTTTTAAATGCTATAGCTGTTATACGGCGGGGAACCGTTGGCAATTTCTGAAAAATCTTTAATAATATTGAGATCGTGATGGTAACTTTTAAAATTAACGAAAAATACCATTAACGAAACAAACATTCCATCCTCTGAGCTAAGAAACGACGAAATTTGAAACATTTGGAGAAAAATAAAACAACAAGGAAATTCATCAAAACTATTAGAAATCAAACTGGTAAAACTTGAGCGTGTACGATAACTAACTGAACCCAAATATATCCTAAGTTGGACATTTATTTTCCAGAATGCAATTTTTATCTGAATTTTCAAAGAAAGTGATATACTTCAATGATTAAATCTTTTAAATAGAAAAAATGTAAAAAATAAATTTGGTCAAATGGGTCCGAAAATAAAAGCTCACTAGCCATTAAACCAGGATATTTAAAAATGTAATAACGTTTATATTGATATGCTTAACATTTCCCGTATAGAATCAAGATTTCCATAAGTTCTTCTTCTTAATACAATATCAAAATAAATCAACAATAGTATATATATATCTTATTCGCAAAAACATAGAGAGAAAAATTCTCTCATTATATCTTCGTATCTATTGCTGTAATGTAATTGCTGTAAAGCTTCCCCAAGTAAAATTAAAAGTAAAAGTCTAAATGTTTATCTTATGCAAAACTGATGTTTAGATTAGTGCAAAGTTTGCAAAGCTCTTGTTTCCTGCCGGCATCAAAATAAACAGAGGTCGTAACTTTTGTACAGTGTATCGTCAATCTTAAACATTTGATATCGAGTTCCAAAGCGAGCACTTCTAAATTAATGTCTACCCTGTGTACTGTATATGGGTATCATTAGGACGGGATTGAATAATAATTAAAGTGATCTGTATTTTTGCCCAAGTTTAAGATCAAAATTAATTTTATTGTTCTTAAAATCAAATCAATTTTTATTATTTACACAGAATCATAATAATAATTTAATTGAAACCTTACAGAAGTGTGTCTGGAGAACTGTTTATAGCGCTGAAGCTGTTTTCGTATCAGCTCCCAGTATTTGCTCGAAAAAAAGAAGAAGAAAAATTGTAGATACAGTAACAAACGTAGAAACGGAAACAAACGTAGATACGGTAATAAACGTAGACAGATATGGTAACAAACGTAGATATGGTAACAAACGTAGATACGGTAACAAACAGTGAAGTGATGATGTAGCGTGCTGGTCATGCACTGTAAGGAAAACTTTGATGACGAATTTAAAGTGCCTACATTAGCCGAAGATCAAGTGTTCTAGATTAACGTTTACTCAGGCTTTAGCAGTTTCGACCCCTGAACGTGGTGTCATGAGGTAATCCAATCAGATTTTAATTTTGATTTTAATTATAATAAAAATTTTATATTCTTCAAAAATTGCTGCCTTATTTAAGAAATATTAATTTTAATGATTTCCATCCAACCTGAATATTTGATTGATTTACATAGTGAGGAGGTTGAAGATTTAAACAAATCACTATCCAGGCTGTCAAAACTAAATCATATTCACTTAACAAGCTGTCAGAACTAAATTATATTCACTTAACAAGCTGTCAAAACTAAACCATATTCAATTAACAAGCTGTCAAAGCTAAATCATATTCACTTAACAAGCTGTCAAAACAAAATCTTATTCACTTAACAAGCTGTCAAAACTAAATCATATTCACATAACAAGCTGTCAAAACTAAATCATATTCACTTAACAAGCTGTCAAAACTAAAACAAATCAAGTTAACAAGCTGTCAACACTAAAATAAATTAACTTTATAAGCTGAAACAAAAAATTAAATTTATAAGCTGACAAAACTAAAATAAATTAACTTTATAAGCTGACACAAAACTGAAATAAATTAACTCTATAAGTCAACAAAACTAAAATAAATTAACTTTATAAGCTGACAAAACTAAAATAAATTAACTTTATAAGCTGTCAAAACTGAAATAAATTAACTAAACAGTTGCTGTCACATCTAAAACCTAAACTTTAACTTTACAAGCTGTCAGTAAAAATAAGCTATCATTACTAAGCTTTATACTTTACAAACAATCAAAATTAAATCATAAACTGTAAAAGCCGTCAAAACTAAATTTTACACTTTACAAGAAGTAAAATAAAAAATTTACACTTAAAGCTGTCAAATCCTATTTTTTCCCTAAATGATGACTTGATCCCAAATTATTTTATCTGAACTTTGCGACCTGAGGTGGAAATTTTTGTATTGCAGCTTAGTCAAGGATTTCTGCACTTCAAGTGACTCTCCATGCATGGATGACAATGCCCTATTCACAACGTTGCCTATTATGTGTTTTCCGCTCGTAGAAATGCACAAAATACTTCAGAAGAGAAACCACAATTGAAAATAATCAGTTTTCTAAATTATAAACATTAATATCTAATTCATACTTGATCCAACAAAGTTTTAATCGTATCATTTTGAATCGGATATTGAAATCTTGGCAAGGAACGTCACTTTAAATTTCGCTTACTGTCCCTTTAACCTGGAAAGTGGTGCTCTACCCTCTTCTATCCTAAACATTCTTCACGACTGCAGAATCTATATTCTTGCTTTCTAACTGCATCTGTATCTAACTATCTCTCATATCCCTGAATATCCTGGATAAGCTATGCTTGTGTTTTGAAGGAAGGAATGTTGCAAGGGTCAGCCTGCCGAACAAATATCCTATTTTCACTCAGAAATTATTGTGTCATTTTCATGGAGTGAATTCGGTCACAACTTAGAGAAATTGTTTGGGCACAGCTTAGAGGGAGTGCTCAGGCACAGAGTTAGAGGGGGTGTTCAGACACAGAGTCAGAGGCAGTGTTCAGGCACAGAGTTAGAGGTAGTTTTCAGGCACAGAATTAGAGTTATTGTTTGGGCACAGCTTAGAGGGAGTGTTCAGGCACAGAGTCAGAGGGAGTGTTCAGGCACAAAGTTAGAGGTAGTTTTTTAGGCACAGAATTAGAGTTATTGTTTGGGCACAGCTTAGAGGGATTGTTCAGGCACAGAGTTAGAGGGAGTGTTCAAGCACAGAATTAGAGGGAGTGTTCAGACAGAATTAGAGGAATTGTTCAGGCACAGAATTAGAGGGATTGTTCAGGCACAGAATTAGAGGGATTGTTCAGGCACAGAATTAGAGGGAGTGTTTTGACAGAGCTTTTGAGGAAAGGTTTTGGTTAAGTTTCAAAAATACTAATTTTTTTATATTCCATATTGTGATAAATTACGTTGATCTTTAATTTTATAATAAACAGTCCGGGAACTACACTGAGAGCGTACTGCATATTTAATTATTTGACAAAGGTTAACAATGTCAACACGGACACAAACTCGTTAACTATTAATGCCAAACATGGGCACGATCTCGTCAGCTATCAATGTCAACATGGACACAAGCTAGTAAACTATCTCAGACATCTGTCTTTCAAGATACTTTACAAGATATCAATTCCCAATCTAGTTCTATATTTCAAGAGAGTAATTCAAGATGTTTCTCGTTCGCTAACCAAGAAGAAATTACTCTCGCACTTTAATCAAAGCGGAGTCTATTCCAACTGACGTGTATTAAGATATCTATGTTACAGGTTAGCGCAGATATATATAAGCATAGTTAATCTATTCACTGACGTAGTGAAAAGTTTATCACAATACAGGCTTTAATGTAATTACGTACATAGCTAGGCTAGATTAATCGCTTTACAAGTTTTGCTAGTTAATGATCAGCGTGTTTAGATTTACTGACAATGTACAACGTAATATATCTAGGTATGTTCAGGTTATCAAATATGGGGATTGCTACGATATAACTGAAAAAAATCTGTCTTGATATTTTAAATATTTTGAAGGGAATTCTACTTGAAATTATTCAATATTAAGCACATAAATCAAACTGAAAAATATGTGACATATTTTTTCCAAATATTGTTAAATTGTTTTTAGGCTGTTCTCTTTCTCACACATATAATTGAGCTCAGAAACAAATCTAGAATTTTAAAAAGAATTGTTTAACCTTGTAAAATGAAAACAATTATTTTATTTAATAACAGGACATCATTGACTTCGAATTGTTTTTAAACAAAAATAATGTTTTATCTGTTAAGACTAACAGTCCTTTGTAAGGTTTTTTTTCCCCAGATATTTGACACTTGAGCTAAATTGTTTTTAAAAATCGATATATTTTGTTTAAGAAACATTTTTGACATGAAAAGGGTGAAAAGCCAAAAAGTTAGACAAGAGAATCAGATTAAGTAAAGGATCCGTTCGACCTCGGAAAGGTTATTTCTTTCTTTGCCAAATCATTAAATAAGTTATTTAACTATCCCATTCAGGACAAAAGGCCTAATTTAGACTTGGTATAGTTATATTTAAATAGTTTAGATAATCTCATCCTGTAAAGAGGTATTCAACGTTTAAGGTTAAACAGTAACAAGGGAGGTATGAAACCAACTCAGGCATAAAGTCACAAGTAAGGAATTTTGTTGTAAATTCAAGCGAACCTTGATTAAATGAGGAGCATCTTCGATTATCTGATCTATGATCTGGAAAATATCGTCGTTTTTCTTACTTAAAAAGTGTCACATTCTGACGGAATCGTCTATTTTTCTCTGAAGCTAAATCCGCAAGTCACATAGAGACACTCTGATATGCCACATTTTAAATTGAAATTACGTCTGCAGTTCCTTTAAGATACACAAGTTTCATTCTCACAATCACAGATTCAAGTTAAATAATAGTACACTGTAAAAATATTTAAATCAACTGTAATCTAGGTTAATGTTTGTATTTCTAACTTTATTTCATTATTTGTAAGTTCTCTAAACTTCTCTAGATGAGCATCAAACTTCTCGTTGGGGTAGAAATGATACCATTTACAGCCCTGAAATATAAAAGACACATATAAAAATCTAAATTGTAATGGACTCTCTGTGCACAAACTCTTATTTTATAATCCTTATATTTTTGCAACCAATCGTCGTGATTTGTTGACCTGAGATATTTCAAACTATAATTAATGAATATAGATTAAATAATCTAAGTTTGAAATGTAAAAGGTTTAAACCATCAGCTTGCAAAGATACAAATATGGTGAAAAATTCTGTTTTGTTTTACTACTCTTGAAGTCTAGTAAACATGATGTCAAGTAACTGTTCATTTATATAGGATGCTTGCCAAATACCCAATTCATGTCGATTTTCTTTAACATTTCATTTTAAAAAATGATGTCCTAGGATATTCTTATGTTAATTTATCTCAAAATTGATAACTTTTAACATTGTTTTCTTTATAATAAAATCCACTTGCAAAATAAAAATAATAAGAATCTCAATATTGTAAATCGGACATACGACTAATTATAAGTACAAAGCCATGCATTTTTTTTTAACCGTACATATCACGGGCACCCGTAGGACATTTTAATTTCCGAGCTGGGTCAACCTTTCCGTTCCCAGTTTGTACTGTACCTAGCTCTATGGACAGGACTAGCCGGTGCAACAAGGTTGACGCGGTCAGACTTTATGCTTCATATAGGTTGAATTTAATTTTACTAAAGGGGCAGAGGTGCGTGATATACCTGATAGACAATATGTATATCTTTATTGCAGTCTCTATACCCCTTTCCATGGAAGCATGTGGCGTTATCATCTATTTCTGCGTACTGCAAACCTAAACATGTTAAATTATTATCATACGCCTACAGAGTGGCATTGAACAATTTAATCATTAGTTTTAAAAAAAGGAAGAGAATTGTCAGAATTAAACACTGTCAGAGAAAGCCCAAAAGTGAAGGACCTAATATTTATTTATTAATCAAAGTTTCGTTTGCAGTACATTTAAAATTATTCAACTTTACAACATAAAATACAATTTTCAATTCATACAAAAAAAAATTAAATAACATTAAACAGTTCTAGAAGATTAAATCGTTCAAAAAAGTTATTGAGAAAAACGATTCCTCAGATCCTGTAATGCTTTCTGTTATTTATCTTGAAATTATGATTTTTCTGAAGCTTTTTAAATAATCTTTACTTTTTGAACTAAAGAAACTGATATTTTGTTTCAAATTATAATTTTTTTTCGATCAATATAAATCTATTTAACTTAATGGAATAATTTTAAGATATTGTGAATTATTTTATCTTGCAGAATTCAAACTTTGAATTATCAAAGGTCTATATTCTGAGGTCGTATACGGTATAGAGAGTAAAAAATTTAAAAATGAAGAATTTAAGTATTCAATTAAAAAAAAAACTAAACCTGGCATGTTCCAAAGTCCGCTTTTCTCTGGAACTGTACAGAGCCCTGACTTGAGAATAGCGTAGGTTGTAATCCTCTGATCATAATACCAGGTAGATATCGGATCCAGAGAACCAAGGGATCTAAACAACATCATCATCATCTTTTTTATCATCATTTTAATCACTATGGTCATGTTCATCATTTTCATCATTATTATCCTGGTCTTCAATTAATCATTATGATCCTGGTTATCATGTTCATATATTATCATGATCATGGTCTTTGTGTTTTTCATTTGATCATGGTCATTATTTTCATCATTATGATCATGGTCTTTTTTACATCATTATGGTCATGGTCATTATTTTCATCATTATGGTCATGGTCTTTTTTACATCATTATGGTCATGGTCATTATTTGATAATAATGATGATCATAGTCATAATTATTTCATTTCTGATAATAGTTATCAAGTTCATTGACATTTTCATCATTTTCGTCATTTTTCATCATTTTCATCATTTTCATCATTTTCATCATTTTCATCAACTTCATCATTTCATCATTTTCATCATTTTCATCATATTCATCATTTTTATCATTTTCATCATTTAGTTAGTTGTATGCTCCTTACCTAAACCTTTCTACAAGATGAGTAAGGTTTCCTGTATATCCTAGAACTTGGAGCCAGGTACTAGCTCTCATAGCAATGAGGTTCTGATTGAAGGTTTCTCCTGTATCTCCTGGTATACTAGCTGTTTCCTAATTGTATTATTATTATGATATAATTATGTTATAATAATAATATTAATAATTATTAAATTAAAGTTATCCCTGCAGGGTAAGACCACTTAAGGATATCAATAAGGAATTCCAAGGATTAACGGTATTTTTGGCGGGTATAAGTGCCATTCAAAATTTAATTAAAGTTTATTAATTGTAGAACCACTTTCATTGTTTTGAAAACTACTTTTAACCAGTAAATTTGTTTACCTCATATTGTGGAATCCAAATTTGTTTATCTGGTTCATCCCTGTTCAACCATCTTTCAATTAAAATCAATCAATAAACATGGTGATTCAGATATGCCTCTCTATAAATGAAATGTCACTTAAATCTGAATCTACACTCAGGTATGAACTCAACTATAGCTCCAGTTTTTTTCAGCATCTTTCCATATTCTTCCATCATAGGTCCAATCTATTTATTTCATCATTTACCCATTTCGTCTCATGTAAAACTTTAAAATAAAATACTGTAAAGAAAAAAATATGAATCAGTACAAAGAACATGTAAACTAATCACCATTACATTTACAAATTTATCTTCCCAACTTGTACAATACCAACAAATGTTCACCATGGATTATAAAAACTTTTGATAAAAAATTGTTCAAACCTTAGAAGTGGTGTAGATTATCCTCACTATTGTCCGAACTTCAGGAAGGAAGTATCTCCATAGCAGAAGCGCTAGCGGGGTCACTTCCTTGTAAGGATACCGTGCTAAAAAGTGTAAATAAAACAAACAATCCCATTAGTCTGTTTCTTCACTGGTCCTGTCCTTCACTTGTCATGTCCTACGCTTGTCCTGTCCTACACTTGTCCTGTCCTTTACTTGTCCTGTCCTTCACTTGTCCTTTCCTGTTCATGTCCTTGTAGCAAAAATCGTGGAAATTCTGTAAACTTGCAGTACGTTTTACATTATTAATGATTTAATGTTGTAAACTTAGACATAATGACATTATTCATTGAAACTACGTTTCAATTGGATACTTAGCATGATTATCTTAAATCACGCGACATATTTAAATTACGCTATAAGGCATGTGCAGAGATAGATTAACTGCATTATATCTATTCTCTCTAATCTTGTAAATATGTTCATTAAATACGTCATATGATTGCTTAATCATGTGATATAGATAACATCGTATGAATTGTAATAATGTCAATTCATGTTAATTTGTGACATAAGATATTAAATAAAGCTTAGTTTATAGAGTAGCTCCGTACTGTTTACTGCGTAAGAGTAAACCTGAAGCCCTGTTTCTTTAATTTGGAATCAATATAGATAACTAATTGATAACTAGGCTTGTGTCCCTGTATGGAATTAAGAGCACTGGATCGTCCAACTATGAGGGGGGAAATATCGAATATTAACCTAAATGTTAAAATATGTTTAACTTGCATAACGGTGTTGTTTTTAATATTTGATGTTTTTGAAATTTTTGTTGTTTTCTGTTCATACAAAAACAAAACATAAAGATTCACATATAACAAGGATATCGTTAATTTTCTGCAAAGCAAAACTATTTTCCAAAAATAAAGATAAATATTTCAATAAAAAAAGTTACCTTTGCCCATCTCCTGGACATTTTTGTTGTAGCATAAACCCATTGAGGCCCAGATCTGTCCATAACTGTCTTTCTTAGCAGACAAGTTTTTTCCAGAACTGTCTTTTGCTGTTGACACAACTTGTTCTGGGCTCTCTTTTTTCGGCGACAAGATCGGTTGAAAATTGTCTTTTTTCTTAGACAAGAATGGTGCAGAAGTCTGATAAAGTTTAATTGTGTGTTCGGTATTAATGTTTTTATAACTGTCATGACTTTTTGACAATTTTTGTTCTAAATTTTCCTGACTCTTGGACATTTTTTGTTCTAAACTTTTTCGATTATCAGACAATACGTTTCTTGAATTGTTTTGATTATTTGACAATATTTGTCGTGAATTTTCTTGAATATTTGACAAGAACTGTACTGAATTGTCTTGACTATTTGACAATATGTGCTGTAAATTGTCTTGACTATTAGACAATATGTGCTGGGAATTGTCTTTGAAATCACTATCTTCGCTTAGAACGGAATCTGTGCAAAAGGAAAATAATATATCTATATTATATATTATAATATATAATTGTATAATGTTTTATGTGTTATTGTACGCTTTTGAAAATATGAAAAATGAACCTACATATTATATGAGAAATTAAAAACAAATTACATTTAAATTCTACTTTTTTGCATAATTTGATTTTCATAATTTTTGGATAAAAAATATAATATTCCTGTCCTTGTTGTCTTATGGAATGCATGTTTAATAATTTTGGTGTATTTATCTTCTGTTCCGGACTATAGATTACACTCAGACACAGATACAGGATTAGAACCAGCATTAGAAGATATTGTTTCAGTGAACCAATCAGTAAACTCATCCTCATCATTAGGACCTGATAAATAGTTATAAAAGGAACTGGGGTTGCAACTTTAAGTCCCCCCCCCCAATGAAAGAGGGGCATTACCTATTCACAACGGAACCCTGTAACCTTTATTTAATCGATAGTATAGT